AGTTGGCTTGGCTTCAAAATTCATGATTTGCTTCATTTAAATTTTCGTGATACTAATGAAACAAATATATCGGAAAAGTTCCAGGAATTAGTTGACAAAATTTATGCAGTTGTACCTGATTATGATCTACAAGCTGCTATGGCAGAAGAAGGTAAGATAATTATATACTAATCGTTTTAATATGAAATTGCATGGTGTTTCAAAGTAACATCACATATTGTATGTAGTTTGAAGCCTTTTTATCAGAAAAACCATGTGACACTTAAATACCGCTTTCTGAGACATATTTTTAGGGGGTGATGGATACTACTATGGCGATGATGGCGCTTACAGCGAAGGTGAAGGAAGCAATGTAGATGGTGAGAATAATGATGAAGAAGGAGACGACGAAGAATAAGATGGTGTTAAAGAAGATGGAAATGAATAAAACGTTTTGTGACTAAAATCTGATAATTGTGTTATCGTTCGTGAGCTTAGAAAACTAAAAGAAGCATATTCTTTCTCCTTGTGTCTCTCTCGTTCTTTTACATATATTGATAAATTGACAGAAATATCAACAATATGTTCTTCTTGCTGTTATATTCATTCTAATAATAAAGAAGTTTATGTGTATTTCAAATAAAAATGATAATATGGCTATTTGCTATTTTTCAGTCGCATATAATGAAATACAAAGAAAAAAAATCATGAGTCAACTAAGACTGAAACCAGATGGTATCCCAACTAGTATCAAGTCAGACGCTTTACTAATTATGCGTGTTGGTGTGGGTGCGTCGACTAATAATGACACGTTTCGATCTTGCCTAAGGGCCTCATCTGATGATCTTTGATTTAGTATCTGTTCAAATGATCCTTAGATCACAATCAAGACATGGAATCTACTAATTTAAGCAAAATTCTGAAAAGAATTCAACATAATAGTAAAGACCTTTACATTTGTGATGTGCCGAGCAACCAAGAAGGTGTGGATGTGATTATATTTAGAAAATACGTTCCAAGCTAGTGAAGATAATAGTTTCGATCTTGCTTAATGATTATCGTCAGGAATAGTGTGTGGATGAGTGTGGGTATGGGAGTGTATAGTATGTCATGATCCAGGTTTTGTTTCGGTTAAGACACCGGCGAGACTGCCTTGAGGGTGAGTGTGGGAATATTAGAGAAGTTAAGACCACACCCCACACCTACATTCACACCCACATCCACACCCACCCACAACCATACCTCACACCCTTATTTGAAAATTTTATAATCAAGTCCTATGAGTTATAATTCATATAAAAAAACTATAGAATTTTTTTTAGACTTTTTATTAATATATACATGGGTATAACATATTACGGGTTTCAAAATAAAAACCAGTTTAATTTTTTCTAATACCCTTTGCTATTCGATATCTTCTCAGGTATCTGTTTTTTTTATTTCATGTGCAATATTTACCATACGCAAATCATCGAAGCATATCGTTTTGTGCACATGTATCGTAGTATGCAACTTTCTATGCGCATCTTGTGTAGACCTGTTCGTGATAGAGTATGTATTAAGAAAAAATTAAAAAAAAAAGAAAACTAGGCAAAGTAGAGAATGGTAAGAAGCGAATAAAATTGCCTTGCTGCAAAGGTAAAAAATGAATCATTCAACAAAACAAGCAAACAATGTTACATATACAACAGCTAGTCTAATCAACAGCACTTCAACACAAAAATTTCTCCATGTTTTAGATTGTTTATTTCGTCGTATTGAGTAATTTATTAGGGTAATGCCAAACATAGAAACAAGTGTATTAAATAATAAACACATAGTACAAATATGATCTATACACTACACACGATTGAGACAGATATGAAATTGATCACAACGATCGACTTTTCTTTTGGATGATCGATTGATAAATGTTTATTAGTTAACAGTTTTTTTGATTTATTTTTCTGTCCCTGTCTCACTTTTATTTATTATTTTGATTAACTTCAATTCATTGATAATGCCTATATATTACATAACTAGTTAGCTGGTTTTTTTTGCCAGTACTATACAGCATGTTTAGTTAATAAAGAGACGAGCGTTGAACTATCAGCATGATGTAACTAAGATTTTGATGATAATATGTATAAAAATTCTACTGACACAATAGTAAAATTTTCGTGCCGGTGAGGATAAAGGTAAAACACCTCGCGTCTTCCAACACTGCCTCAAAGTCTACCTGAAATACTTCTTACCATACAGCGGCATAATCAGAATTTTTAGATCAATGGGCAAACTTCACTTGTGTCGAAAAAAAGCAATGGGCGAAGTGGGCAAGGTTTTTATTGGTAGGTCAAAACCCTTTTGACCTAAAAAGGACTAATAACGTAAAAAGAACATGCACGAGTAAGTGTTGAGGACTCTTCAAATATGTATCTGTGTAGCACATGTAGACATTTTCCCTACGAACTACATCATTTAACAGCTTGATATTTTCCTTTATGTTTCCACATATACATCATTGGATTTTTCCTTTCTCTTCTATGTGTCACTGTATATGTATATATACCTACACATATATATGTTCGTGTGTGTTCTCTTGATCTGTGCTCTGGTTTCTCTTCTCTTTGATCTATCCTTCTCTACCTTTACGTGGTTAGTATTTTTCCAGTAAAACCGAACTCATCTTCACCCAAACTTACAGTTAAAATCATGGTTGTCAGATCTTCTGAAAAGTCAAGAAAATTTCTGAAATTTGAACATTTTTTCGATTTTTTTTCTGATCTTCTGATTTGTTGCCGAATTTCAAACGTTTTTAGTTTGTGGCTTTACTAGAGAAATTAATGATGAGTATAATCCATTAATATTATAGATCCATATTCCACTATCTTCTTTTCTTTACTTAATCTTTTCTAGTTTCTGAGTTCTGCAGACACTGACGAATGCTTTAATATATCAGTAAATTTTTGCGTTGCTGAACTTAAGAATGAATGCTAATTTTTTTTGAACGATTTTGTAAACATATTTTAGCTCAAAAATATTTATTGAGGGAATTTTGAACAAAGAAAAACTTAAAAAATAATATGGAATTTATGTTTCTAACCTTTATTATTTTTCGTAAACAGAGTTTTGGGTTTCATACGAGAATCCGATACTGGGTGTCTTTTGACGGTTTTTTTTTGTATTAACTAACAACTGAAGGCCATGTAATGGAAAATTAAGAGGGTTGCTCATAGTCGAATCAAATGAATACTCTTACTCATAGACCAATTAGTTTAAAACATGAGCTGCCAATAACGCACACAGAACGAGATGTTTAAATTTTAACATATTTACAGTTTGTCATGTAATCACACTACGAAATTTCATCACTCTTTAGTTTTCTTTTTTCGTCACGGTTGGATGGAGCGCGACTATTTACATAGAAAGAAGCAATATCACGCATATTGAAAAGCAATTT